ATAATAAGGAAGGCTATGCAGGTGCCAAAGTGTAAAAACAGCGATGGCCAGCTCACATATGACACCGAGAACCTTCCCACACAACAGCACGAATCACCTCCTGATACGTTGTTTCATTGCTCACCTAAAAATGAAAAAAAAAAGAAAGAAAAAGGTGTGGGGTGTAAACCAGTGGATCTCAGCCAGGGTAATTTTGAGGTACCCTATGGACCCTTTTCAGACTGTGAAGGCACTTTTTTTTTACAGTCATCAACATCGTAAATCTTGCAAAGTTTTATGTTTATTATATATATATATATATATATATATAATGTATTCAATTCACATTTATTTGTATAGCGCTTTTCAAAAAGCACATAGTTTCAAAGCAGCTTTACATAAAATGCATGAGTCCACATTACAATTTAATGTATGTACATTTATAATACTATACTTTGTATTATATAACTTTGCATTAAATTACAAAAAACTAGTAAATGCTGCTGTTGGAGTGTTTCTAATACAGAGGCTAAAGGGTGTAGCTGTAAAAATGACATCTTTCTGTCTTCTGCCTGCTGTTATCAATCTCTCTCTGTTTTTTCCCTTCTTTTTAAAAGTTGTAAAAACACAATTGTGGAGTTTTTCTTTTGCTATCTGAGCTAATGGAAACAAAAAATATTGAATGTAGTCTCTCATTCACCGATATAAAAGTTAACCCAAACATGACGACTTCCACTTCTGAGAAACCCGGAAATATGAAAACGGTCAATATTAAAAAGCTTTTATAAAACTAAATATATACACAACAGATCAAAAGTTTGGGCTTGGTAAGGTTTTATTTTCATGGAATCTCGTATGCTCATCAAGGCTGCATTTATTTAATCAAAAATACAGTAAAAACAGCCACATGAATAAGAAATATTTTCTATTTTAATGCATTTTAAAATGCAACCTATTCCTGTGATGACAAAGCTGAATTTTCAGCATCATTACTCTAGTCTTCGGCGTCACAGAAATCTTTCTAATATGGTGATCTGCTGCTCAAGAAACATTTCTTATTATTATCAATGTTGAAAACAGTGCTTAATAGTTTTGTGAAAACCATTATACACTTTTTAGAATTATTTTATGACTAGAAAGCTTAAAAGAACAGGATTTATTTGATAGCATTTATTTTGACATTATAAATGTTTCTACTGTTACTTTTAATCAATTTAATGCAAATTCAAATCTGAACAGAAGTGCATTTTCTCTTGATGCGTCTGATACAGATATATGCTTACCTGAGAACAATAAGCCAAGATCACCAGCCCAGTGATGATGAAGACCATCATGCACTGCAAAAGAATAAGGCAAACTTTGAATTTCACAACATTAAACTTCAAAAGACTCTGTCTTTAATTGTACACTTTTTGGTTTTATTTACATCTGTCCTTATGTCTCTCTCACCATTTGAAGGGTCACTCCGGCTGTGACGCCACCAGCCATGTTGAAAGCAGCAGGAAAATTGAGAAGTCCGGCTCCCAGAGCAGCATTCACCACAATAAAACAGCCCCTAATGTAGATGTCCTTCCCTTCGTTCCTCTGATTGGTTAGGCAGTTGGATGGAGTCCACGCTGGGACTCTGCAGAAGCCATGCCCTTCTCCAGCATCCTCACTGTAGCCCCAATCGCCCACTTCACTGTTAACAGCCCTGTCCGCCCTGGACATGACGCTTGCTTTTCTCACACACCCTCAGATAAACTTACAGGGACACCATAGGGTAAAAGTAGAGGTAAACACACTTTGCTGTCAGTCAGATCCACCACCATTGAGGGGGAAACGGTGTAAACACCTCCACAGGGTCCATACAGTTACAGAGAGTTGTGTTCAGTGTTCAATGTCATCTGTGAACAAAGAAGGGAACATATCACATGGTAGTTTTCACAAATTGACTAAAACGGTTTATGACCATCATACAGTTACATTGTGTGGTTTGGCACTTTTAGGTCTGGGAGTCACAGGACATTGTATTTCTCAGCTGATCAAACAGTAAATGTCTGACATCATATTACAATTTCAAATAACTGTTTATTTTCTGTGATGGTCAAGCTGATTTTCAGAGTCACATGATCCTTCTAATATGCTGATTTGTGGCTCAATAAATATTTTTGTATTATCTGTTAAAAGTTGTGCTGCTTAGTTTTGTGGAAACTGTAACATTATTTTGATGAATAGAAACCACATGATTTATTGGAAATATAATTTTTTGCATAATACATTTGACTTCTAAGCAATTTAAAGTATCCCTGCTCAATTAAAGTATTAATTCTTTCTTGTCTTTTTGAATGGTAGTGTATTTGCTTTTGACTTGTCTGACAGATATTTTTGCTCGCTTGAGAACAATACGTCAAGATCACAGTCCACGTGGTTGTTTTGATGACACAGAGGTTTGCACTTTAGTTCAAGTGTCTGGGAGTCACGGGACATAATTGTATTTCCTCAGCTGATCAGTAAGCAGAAATCTGAGACGATGAGGAAATGAAATATGCTTTCCACAAGAGAAGGAATAAAGCACGGTCAGGACATTATCTTTAAAGCAGCTTGATTAAAAGCTGATCAATAACATATCGATTTGGAATTATTTCATGAAATGTCTGAACTAAATGACCGAGAAAAGTGATGGTAGCGTTAGTTTATGACGGTGTCTTTGAGTTTATAGCAGATACATCACCACACAGAGACACATGCTCACTGACAATAAATTCAATCAAAAGATTAGGCCAAGTCAAGGAAACTGACACTGATCAAACACTCTTAATCGCACAGAAAATTAACTCTACATCCACTAACGTTACTCTTAAGAGGGTAAAAAAACACAAACAAGAAAGACACAAAACATGCCGTGACACCCGAACGCTCACGTGACTCACATAGCACTGCATTTGTTTAGCTAATAAAACTGTCCAGGTATGAAGGATATGTGATAAAGCAGATGTCCCACCTCAAGCGTATGTTCTTCGTTAATCCCGCACCGTGATGAAGAGCATAGATGAGATGTTTTCCAGAGAGGAACTGAAATAAATATGAGGCTGCTGCCTCCACCGAAACTGCTTCATCGATTAGCTGCTGACACAGACATGGTCACGTGACAACATCAAGCTAGTGATGAGATCATAGGATGAATGGATGAGAGATGAGCGATGAGCATAGGGCGATGAGCGCATTATGTCTATGGATGAGCGCCGCTTCTTCCTTAATTTCCTCTTCTTTTGTTTTATGGCAGATTGCAACCGTGACTTTTGAAGGTGCATACCGCCACCTACTGTATCGAAGTATGTAACATGAGCCATAATTCGTTGGGACTACTTTATATATGAAGAGTTCAGATGCAAAAGCCTCTAAATGCCATTTGAAATTTTCTTCTTTATTGATGATTTTTGTCAAACTTGTATATTTAAGTTCAGTAATTTCACTTCAATAACAATCAATAGGTAATTATCATTGCCATTTAAGTGAAATCACTGAACTTAAATATACAAGTTTGACAAAAATCAGCATTAAAGAAGAAAATTTCAAATGGCATTTAGAGGCTTTTGCATCTGAACTCTTCATATATACTCTGATATATTCCTATGTTTATCAGATATTGAATAACTGCTTTCTGTGTATGTTTTACCCCATCTCCTGTTGTGCCTAATAAACCTTCTAGGTTCCATTTCCTTCCTGGCTGACTTTTCTTTTGGTTTAGCCGCCTTATCCTCTCATCCCTATATTTCTTACAATATAACAGTACATGTTCTACATCTTCCTTGGATCCACATTCCACACATTCATTTGATTGACTTTTGCCCATTAAAAACAATGTTTTATTTAACCCCGTATGGTCAAACCACGTAGTCTGGTTATAACGCTCTCCTCTCCTGTTACCTGTTAAAGACAAAAATGTTGCATTGTCTTAAAAAGAAATCAAAATCACACACCAATATCTTTGACATGTTTCTGTATAAATGTAATTCTTAAATTCAATTACATTTATTTTTCTTAGAAACAAAAAATAAAATTGTACAGATGTGTGATTGAACTCAGATTTCTCTACATTGATAATGAATGCTTTGTTCTGTCCCCAACAATGAAAATCACAGAGAACAATAAATGGACACAATACCTTTATTATTGTTATTCATTTTACTTCACTCACACAATAAAGTTAAAACAGAATTTGGGTAACACTTTACAATAAGGTTCGTTAGTTAACTACATTAGTTAATATGAACTAATAATGAATAGCACATATACAGCATTTGTTAATCTTTGTTAATGTTATTTTCAACATTTACTAATACTTGATTAAAATCTTGCTAACATTAGTTAATGCACCGTGAACTAACATGAACAAACAATGAACAGCTGTATTTTCATGAACTAACATTAACAAAGATGAACAAATGCAGTAACAAATGTATTGCTCATGGTTAGTGCATGTTAGTAAATACATTAACTAATGAACCTTATTGTAAAGTGTTACCAGAATTTGTAACAGGATGAAAAATGCTCTCAAATGTGCTCAGTAACAGAACCACAAGATAACCCGAGATGACTTATAAGTTACCATTAGATACCCTGATAACATGTTCAGGATCCATGTTGACCTAGAAAAACAGCCAAATGAAGTGAAGCTGAGATCTTAGTCCAAAGAGGAATAGTGGGGTGGACTAATAGAAACAGGACCAGTATACAAGTCTCCTGTATCGGCATCATTTTGGTCTACTTTGTGACCTGGTGAATGGCATGTGCAAGGTATCCCACATTTCCAGAGGTCACACCGGCAACGCTGATACGGCCATCTTTAGTCATGTAAACAGAGAACTCCTTTGTCAGACGTTCCACCTGAAACACAATACATAGTTTCCTACTATTAGAGCTTACACCAATATACAACATTTAGTTAAACACGCTACATTTAATTAATTGTACTATTTTTTGAGTATGTAAAGGGCTGTACCTGCTCAGGTTTGAGCCCAGTGAAGCAGAACATGCCAATTTGGTCAGTCACATGTTGCCAGTTGTGAGTGGAGCCCTCATTCTTCAGATTATTCACCAGCATTTCTCTCATTTTAATAATACGGTCGGCCATTCCCTTCACTTCCTCCAGCCTACAGGAATACATTTATGTAAAAAATAAAAAATGGTATGAACCTCTAATATGTAGTGCAAGTTTTTCACACATTTGAGTGTGCAAGCATTTCTCACCATGTAGAACGCAGCTCTGGTGTTGTGAGGATCGTGGAAGCGATGCGTGCTCCATTCATGGGTGGGTTGGAGTAAATGGGGCGAATCAGGATCTTCAGCTGAGACTCCACTCTTTTAGCCTCCTCAGCATCTGCGCATACCACTGTGAACCCTCCAACACGCTCACCTACAATGTAAGATTATGATTGTGTATGAACAACTGTCAGATAGTCTTTGGCAGATCCTTTAATGTACAACCATCTTAACTGCACTACTGTTAAAAAGTTTGGTATCCTCAGTATGTTTTTTTTTTTTTAATTACTTCTATTCAGAAAGGATAAAATTTCATCAAAAGTGGCAGTAAAATACATTTATAATCCTAAAAAAAGCTTTCCGTTTCAAATAAATGCAGTTCTTTTTAACTCTAGTCATTTTCGCCCACAGGACTGCCGCATACTGGATGTTTTTCCCTTTTCAACACCATTCTTTGTAAACCCTAGAAATGGTTGTGCGTGAAAATCCCAGTAACTGAGCAGATGGTGAAATACTCAGACCGGCCCGTCTGGCACCAACAACCATGCCACACTCAATCACCTTTCTTTCCCATTCTGACATTCTCCAGTTCTCCCATTCTCCAGTTCAGGAGATTGTCTTGACCAGGACCACCCCCCTAAATGCATTGAAGCAACTGCCATGTGATTGGTGTATATATATATATATATATATATATATATACACACACACACACACACACACACACAATATACTCACCATAGAGACCCATGTTCTTCGCAAATGACTGAGACAGGAGGACGTTGTGGCCCTGCTCAATAAAATATCTCACAGCCCAGGCATCTCGATTAATATCTCCACTAGCAAAGCCCTGGTAAGCCATGTCAAAGAACACCAGAAGTTTCCTCTTCTGCAGAGAGAAAGTGGACAACAAGACAGTTAGGCAATGTCAGGACAACAGACTGGAGTGTCTAATCAGTTCCTATAGAATACATTTTATTTTCATGACTTTTGAAGTCATGCCTCTGTAAAATGAAAAATAAGGTAAGAAAGATACAAACAAAAACACCACACACGTGTGCGCACCTTAATGAGGGCCGAGAGCTCCTTCCACTGCTCTGGTCGGGGGTCGACACCAGTGGGGTTATGAGCACAAGCATGCAGCATGATTACACTATGCTCTGGAATTTGCTGCAGGTAGAGAAAAATTATTAACATTCTGTGTATCTTAGAGAGATTCACATAATCATGTCATAGTTTAGTCACATAATCATGTCAGTGGGGACTTTAACCAAAATTATGTGAAAAATAGAGCCAGAAAGGACAACATTTTTCTCCCTAAACATACACTACTGTTCAAAGGTTTGGGGTCAGAAATATTTTTTTCATGTTTAAAAATAAACAAAATGTTTCTTACGCTGACCAAGTCTGCATTTATTTGATTAAATATACAATGATGTTTTTATTATAATTTTATAAAACCATTTTAATTTTACATATTAAAAAAATGCTATTTATTCCTGTGATGCAAAGCTGAATTTTAGCATCATTACTCCAGTCTTCAGTGTCACATGATCCTTCAGAAATCATTCTAATATGATGATTTGGTGCTCAAGAAACATTTCTCATTTGAAAACAGTTGTGCCACTTAATTCATATTATTCACATGACGTCACACATTTATAAGACTGCCTACCTGGAGGGAAAAACAAGGCTATCCTCTATTGCCAAGTCTGAGCGAAGTATTAATATCAGGAAGACAGTGATATTAAAAGACCAAATTCAATATACAACTTATTGATGATGCATACTACACATACAGGCAAGCAGATTAATCCAGAATATAAAAGCAACACACTCTCGATTAGCGATTTTTTCAATAAATAAAAAGCAAAGAATACACTTAGTGTGATGTGTTCATATTATGGGCTCATCATTAGAGTATATAGTGAATTTGATCCTTTAATATCACTGTTTTAGTACATCAAGGCACTTTAGGTGTTTTTCACATTAAGCGTTTTAGAATGTCCCGCTGTTTTTAATGATTGAAATATTGCAGCAAGTGTACTTGTCCTTCCTTACTGAAAATAAAAACAAAACCCCTTACTGAGCTAAAACTTTAAAGGGTAGTGTACTAATTATAGACTGTATGGGAAAGTGTGCTGTGAAGTACTGGCTCACCGAGATGTCATCAAGCGCTCCAGTGAAGTCAAAGCCGCAGGTAGCAGAATCATAGTAACGGTACGCCTTCAGCTGCATACCACCGTCACGGAAAATAGGGGTGTGGTTTCCCCAGGATGGCTTTGGCAAGTATACATCCTTTGTTCCCAAGTGGAACCTTGACTAATGGACAAAAGAAAAGGTGCATTTATTATTGCTTCTTCTAATATACATAATTGTACTGTTTGCCATCTGGGGTCCATTCTTCGTAACTTGCAAAATACATCTGATTTGACAGATCTTCTAATTGTGAAAAAACTGATCTCTGGCTAATTTGGTTCTTCAAACAGATTTGATTAAAAATAAAAAAATTTAAATATCTGGATTTAGTTGTCTGTACGTTCTTGTGTTCATTGGAAAGGGCACAAGAACACAATGAGCAATATAGCAAGGTAAATTACATCATATTAAAAAAATAACATCAAGCACCTGACGAAAAACTTGACAAATATCTGGACCTTTATAAGGAAACATGATTGCCAGTTATTTCCATTATTTCATGATTTCTAGTGGGCTATTTGTACAGGCTTTACATTTTTATTTCAATGGTGTAATAAGCTATTTTTTACGCAAAAGCATGAATTAAAGTTTGACAGCACAGCAGAAAGCATTTTTTACAAAGTTATCTGCATATCCTGCGCTGCATCCAGCCACTCCCATCACAGCTGCTCAAATTAATGCACGGCATAGACTAATTGTACATAATTTGTGTAAGACTCTTAAATAAAATTATTAGGTATTTATTCACTCACAAATAAATATCCAAATTAGTAAAACTGTCTGTGTCTATATTGTGCAAAACTACGCATTTTTAAATTATTATTATTATTATTATTCTTCCTGGTTCAAGGAACAATAGATCAAAGACCTGTTACTATGACAGCAACTCCGGGATGAGCTTAGATTAGAAGAACCTAACAATCCTGGATTACATCTAATCGTCAACAGTAAAATCCAGATAATGGAGTAATCCACGTACAAAGAACGGACCCCTGGCCTTGATGCCAATAATATCTCATTCTCCTTAACATGGAGATGCAAAACGTTTTGGCTGAAGGAATGAATGACACACCAGGAAGTTTGCTCCAATCCTTAGAGAACCAGTGCCTGAGATTGTCTGGACAGTGATGCTCTATATAGGAGAAAAACAGATGAAGTGTTTTGCTAAACAAGCATTAACATATTAGATAATAAATTATCCAAGATGTAAAAGTAAAAAGAATGAAAGACGCACTGGGAACTAGAGAGGCATACTCACCCTCTTGCTTTTGAGAACCTCACTGTCCGCCCCCAGTGCAAGCTCAGCACAAGCCTTACTAAAGTCACCCAGACCCCCAATGGGCAGATATTCTTTATCCAGCATCTTAGAGGCAATCAGAGCCTCTGCCTAAACAAAACAAACAAAAAAATGCTTAATTTAAAAATAATTACTCAATACATTAATAAAAGACTTCATCACAGTTGCATAGCTAAGGGTCATGAAAGTAACTGAAGGATACTGTTAATCAGAGACAGCCTCTCAAATCACTGAGTTCAGGGTGACACTGCAGAAATACAGAAAACCAATTGCACATGTACACACACATACACCAAAAACATCTGCACCCTTGAAAACTATTGGTCAATCACTGACAAGCCCCCTGAAATTTAACTTTTAAAAATCATTTAACTCTGAATCAAAGTTAACACCAGGGGCCTGTACCATGATGGTGGTTGAACAAAGTCAGTGTGCAGAATTAGTTTCGAGTTGACAAAACCAAACCAATCCGACCAGGTTTTGTTGCTTATCATCAACTTTCTCTGTCAACTCAGGCTTTGATCCTGGGGTGTGACATCAGTAGCGAACAGCCAATCACATGCTGAGAAAGAGTGAAACTCCTTTAAAACTCATTGAAGTTAATTTCTCACAAGAGACATTAAGAATTTAAACAAATTTACACAGCAATAAGAAAATAGCGGTCTATGATAGAGGACAACTAAAAGAAAAAGTCTCGTTACTGTGTATCAGTGCAAGTAAAAGTGAAGTTAGTTTACAGTAGATAAAGGTATAGAGAGAATTGAACATTTAAGCTCACACATTGTAATTTGATTGCTTCTAAGGCGTATTATATTACCTTGCGGACACAGTTGAGAACATATGGTTTGCCATTGTCGTCCCTGTATGCCCCCACACCCAGGTTCATTTTCTTAGAGTTTGAGTCACGTTTGAAGGCTTCTGTCACCCCCAGGATGGGATCAGGTGGTCCCATCTGCACCTCAGTCCACCATGAGCTAAAATAAAACATACAAATCTGAGAATAGTGTTTAAACCAAAAATAACACTAACAACAACTATTCAGTCTTTAAAATACATATAAATAATATACTATTTAATAATATACTATTTTAAATCTCAATGTATAGTGGCCAGTGAGAAATGTAATAGTGTAAAAGACAGTAGGCCTTATATTACTTATATTTACTACAGCCCTTTTATTTTAACTATCAAATACGTGGACATGAGGCCATTGGTGTGGTATAATAAGTGGCTGCGTCTCTTTTACTGTAAACATAATATTGTACTAAATAAGAGTTATTTATCTTCGTTCATCATCAGCTCTGCTTTGCTCATAGACGGCTTTGCCCTCCAAGTGCAAAAGGACAGACTACCATGATGAATCCGGAAGCAACACAGCCAATCAGAAAGCTAAACCTGCTTGTTCCACCCAATGAGCGCACAGGAAACCTGTACGTACGGTCTCCTGGTGAGATCAAACATAGTTACGCACGCTATCGCGCTCATAAGAATGCGAGTCATTTATACAGCACAAAAGAATAAAAAAGTATTGACCCATAAGCACAGTATTAAATGACGGACATCCCTTACCGAAAATTAATTTAGAGTAAGGAAATCAATGTTGAATTTCTTGCCTTTTCCGAGATGAAGGTCAGAGGGATGCTGAATGATCCTTTAGTAAACATGGTAGAGAAGAGCTGTACATTTTTGTGTGTTAAATACGATCCATTAGCAGCTAGAAATTGGCTTGAAGATGAAAATACAAAGCAGTATACAATACAGATATCTTGCAACACCCACATGGTCTAATATCGTGAGCTGCAGTGTGTCATTCTACTGCATCAACTCCATGTGAACGGATGTGACAGTATACGCGCGTGACCGTGAACACAAATCTGATGGCATGAGTTGTATTAATCAATTAGTATTATTTAATAGCATTATTGAAAAAAAAACTATTTTCCATTCTGCATGTATTAAACCTCAACTTAAAGTAGTACAGTGCAATTCATTGTCGAAATGTAACATCACTGTCACAGAATAAGATTATTTTAAGGTTCCTTGCCTGGCTCGAGTAGGTAGGGCAGCCAAAGACGGCGTCAAACTCCCAACAGAGGATAATAGCTTGGTCGTTTTGAGGAGAGCCATTGCTTTGCTGCTGCTGTTGCGGTGTCTCTCGGCTGAAGCGCAGGGGAACGCGCACGCGGTTGTCTGCGTGCGTGAGTGCGTGCTCGTATACGGAAGTGCCGCGTGACAGCTCCATCTAGCGGTGGATGATGATAAATACGGAATCATTGATTATTAGATTGTATCTCTGTATTCATCCTTCACCTCTAGATGTCATTAGACATAATCATTAGAACACAAGCTTTCAAATGGCTTTGACACATCGGACACTTTCCTTACAGAATTACATGAATCAGATCTAAATGTTGTTTATGATTATAAAATTGATCATCAGAAAAATTAAGAAGGCTAGTTAATCTGGATATTACAAGCAAAACAGTTGGATAGAACATCAAATATAGCCTATTAAAAATGAATTAGGACACATAAAAGGGAAAAAGGGATCCCATTTCCCCCATGAGTCGTAGGCTAATATTGATCCGACAATGGAACAAAATAAACTTTTTAAATTGAGTGGGAAATAGAACCATGTAAATTGTAAACAAAAGCATCTGCTTTCATACTAGTATTCAAATGCACTTTAAAACTTAGCTTGTTATCACAACCTGATATCCTAAGTCATATTCTAGCCAAATCACTATCTGATGTATTTGTGAAATAATGTGTTAAATATGGTATAATACTTCTAATAACACAGCGATTAATGAGTGGACAAAAGGATCTGGTGTCAAGCCAGTTGTGCCAGTCTGTGGAAAGCCTCTCATCACTGAGCATCATGGGAACTGCACTTTGCTGATTCGAATCTTACCTCACAGGTCTTTCAATGTAGCTTTAGGAAGAAACCCAAAGCACATCAACTAGTCACAGGGATACTAAACCTGAAGGGTCAGTTCTTGGACCCCTCCTCTCCTCCATATATTCGTATACATTACTGGGACCTATAGGCTACAGGCAGAATGCTGGAGACACACAGCTTTACTTTTCATTTCAAGCAAACGATCTGGTAGCTGTACGGATCTTGGAGTGCCTGAGGACATCTCGGCATGGATGAAAGAACATCACCTGTGATCACCAGAAATCTAGAGGTAATCTTGATGACCAAGCTGACATTTAGAGATCAAATTGATTGCATAGATCACATAGATTGCAATAACTGAATTTTAAATAAGAACATCTCAACCAAGTTTTGTCTCTATATAGGCCCTATATAGAGACAATATATTATATATTATATATATATAATAGGGGATATATATATATATATATATATATATATAATTATATTATAGGGGAACAAAACTGGAAGGATATCTACCTAAACAATTATTTTCCATTAGTTTGAGTTGGACAAGCATTAAAAATGACTTCATAAATGTATCCATTTAATTTAAATTGTATTAGTTCAAATTCAGTTGGATCAACTTTCATTACTTTCATTGCATGAATCTATGAGTTACACATATTTATTGGATAGAAATCCTCAATCAGTTATTTAATTTTTTGAGTGTTGTCACTTATTACAACATTTTGTGTTTCAAAACTAAAGTTACAATTTTAAGGCAGCAAAAACATGTACTTTTTCAAGCAGAAACAACATTACAGTGTAGATGCAGCTGAAATAGATATGATTACATTCAGGTATTTAAAACATAAAAGTACAATGTAAAAACATGTAACTTTATCCACTACAGTAAAGACCTGGGTGTTATACTAGACCGCAACTTGTCTTTCGAAAATCATATTTCATATGTTACAAGAGCAGCCTTTTTCCACCTAAGAAACATTGCTAAGCTACGTAAGCTATGTAGTATGTTTCTGATGCAGAAAAGTTAGTTCATGCATTCATGACCTCAAGGCTAGATTACTGTAATGCTTTATTAGCTGGTTGTCCTGCATCCTCAATAAACAAGCTACAGTTAGTGCAAAATGCAGCTGCTACTAGGTCAAGAAAATATGATCATATAACACCGATTTTCATCTCTACACTGGTTACCTATTAAGTTCCACATCAATTACAAAGTACTACTACCGACCTATAAAGCCCTAAATGGTTTAGCTCCTATGTATTTAATTGACCTTCTATCGCCCTACAATCCACCGCGTTCTTTAGGATCACTAAATTTGAGGCTTCTGGTCAGGATATCTAAGTCCACTAAAGGAGGGAGGGCGTTCTCGCATGTAGCTCGAAAACTCTGGAATAGCCTTCCCCATATGGTTCGAAGCTCTGGCCCGCTGTCACAGTTTAAAATTAGATTAAAGACACATCTCTTTAGCCAAGCATTCACATAATTACCTTTCATTCCTCTGTTGAATCAGATCAAATGCATTTAATACTATAAAACTTAAAAGAGTCTGTAGGTTATTTTTATAGGTTGCATAGTATTTACAGTCATTACTTTCCTGTGTATATTGCGTGAATGATGGGTGGTTGGGCAGAAATTGTATTTTGCGGTAGGTGATATGCCATACGGAACCGTTGCCACTGACCCTGCATTACCACGACAGTGGGGCTCGACAGCCTTAGTCAAACGGGTTGGCGCTTTTGGAGTTTGTGAGATTGTGTTTTTTAACATCTACTCCCATGTAAAGGAAATTATTATGAACATCAGCTATGCTAATTATTTCCCATCTGCCTTTCTGCTGTTGTCCCGGGACGCTAGTCCTGAGAAAAATGGTGTTCGTCAGCTCCAGTGTGTATCCAGCATCACACGGAGACTTCAGATGCCCCAACACCTGCGATGAGACGACTAAACGCCTGTGAAGAGACAACTCAACACCTGCGATGAGACGACTCAACGCTGGCGATTTGTTAAGCCCTTAATATTACATGATTAACTAAATGTATTTTTCCATGTACTTTTCTGTAATGCACGTTCTGTAAAGCTGCTTTGAAACAATAAGCACTATACAAATAAACTTGAATTGAATTGAATGTTGAGATGGGATTAGTCTAAATCTTCTCAAGACAGCTGCTGAGTCACACTGTATTATTGTCATTTGTGGAAGTCAGTGTGTTTATGCAGATTGTCTGAAAAAAAGAAAAATGTCTGTTTTAAAGAGCTCTTATGATTTCTGAACTGTATTTCCACACAGGATATAAATGACACTTTTTTTTTATAAATGAAACTTTTTTTATTAACAAAAAATATGAGCATGTTACAAATATTACAGTATTTAAGAAAATACAACAAAAGGGGGATTAATGTAGATCTACATAAAGAAATTTTAACATTTAAAAATTTTCAGAGTTTTAACTGATTTGCTTCATATAAAATCGAACTGAGTCAATATAAAGCTCCATTTCTTTCTTAAAGGTACAATATGTAGGATTTCAGTGGCTAATGTTACATATTTTGTTTAGTTGATTACTTATAATATCCCCAATGTTTCCAACTATTTGTAAATCGTGAGAAAATGAGCGATTTTAACAAAGGAAACGGGACGTGTGAGCAGGGGTGAGGAGTCGCCAGTCAATGGCGTCATATCCGCATATTGGTTTCCGCTCGTATTGCCATAGTAACCATGGTGACAGAAGTGAACATCTGGGTTATGCCTAGCAGGACGCTCATACTGTTGTTGTTTTGTTCAAACATTATGAACCATTACAAGCAGACTTTGAGACAAAAAGAAAAAGGACTAAAATGAAATTCTAAATCTTTTGAGTTGCTGAGAGCTCCACGTTCAAGACTAACTTCAACTTGACAGAGACGAGAGTGTTGCATGCACTTTATTAGACAGGTGAGCAAATGTACATAAAACTAATCAATGTAATTTAGTACAACATGATGAAATGTTTGAATATGATCAGTATGTTATTCTAATGTTGATCTAGCTTACTTAGTCTCATACAGCCAACACACAACCTAACTAACAACATTCAACACACTCAAATGCCGTTTAGTGTGATAGTGTAACTGTTAGAGCAAGTGAAACAGCGTTGCGTTACCTCAAGTTTCATTCGTCTAATAAACTGACTGGGTGAGTATTAATTCAGCACTTGTGTCCTTATCCATCACACAACTTTATCCATCACACACAACAATATAGTATGGGTGGGGACCATTGTTGAATATTAAGTCTTTTCTGATGTCTATACAGATTTCAGGAGATATTGCATCAAACACACAGTCCATTTTGCATAGTCCCCTGGTGTTACAGGAATCTTATGTGCCAAATACTCATTTAAATTAAATAACTGATCCACCAATGATGCCACAATATCTCAAAAACAATGATTTATGTTTATATTCTTATTATTCCTTATATAATAGCCTATGTGGTGAAAAGTTGTGCTTGAAAATCGAGGACCATGATAAAAAGGCCTGGCAATGAAATTCTGATAATTTGACCGGTATGTCACTGTTATGTTGTTAGAAAAGCGTATGGGAAGGTATAAAGTTCCAAATGGATTTCTAACAACCTGACTAGCCATTGTAGCCAATTTACTTTAAATGTATTATTTAACGTTTCAAAATCCAAAAAATGTAACTCACCAGTTTCATATGAATTCATAATAGCCTAATTGTTTTGTAATGTATTTTGTTTTTGATGATTGATGTAATTTACTTTTTGTTTTTTCAACAATAGGATTGAAATTTAGAAAACACCTCTTGTGTAAATGACACTCAACTTGAAAGGTTTGAATGATGGGTGATTGAGCATGACGTCACACGATTAGAGGCGCACCAAAAAGGTTGTCATAGTCAGGTGATGTTT